TATAATAATGTCGAAAATTTTCGTTTATGTTGTTCAAAATCCACTTTATGCTGCAAAACAACGTTCTTCAGGAGTTTATAACAGGTATTTATAAATATTATATAAAAATAAATTTTAACTACTTTGAAAAATTGTTGGTTTTTGTATAACGAAAATATGTTTTTTTTTAGTTTTAAGTTACTTCTACAAAAGGTGTTATAAAACTTTTGTATTCGAAATTTTTAACCGATTTTCAAAAAAATACGTTTTTAGGAAAATCTGAGCTTATAGTTGAAATAAGTATATTTCAATACTTTAGTTTTTTTCTTTTTTAATACTATAAATTTTATTTTCCAATAACTTCTGCACCACTGACAAAATTATTAATTTTTTTTAGAAATATTTTTGTTAAATTTAAATTTTAAATGTTTTTATTAAATATATTAGGTTATTATATTAAATTTTAATTGAGCAATAAATTAAATAAAATGAATTAAATACTTTTTCTAATAGACAGGAAATAAAATACTTCCAATAAACGATTTTAGAAAAAATGCTTATCAAACAAAAATACGTTTAAATGCAATTTGATGAAATATAAATTGAATTTCATCGTAATAGAATTTTCAGTTAATGAAATTTATTTCAATTTTTTTTTAATATTTTAAAACCCCTTCTTTTTAGGTATAAAAAGTTTGAAGTAAATAAAATAAATTTTGTAATCAAAAAAAATGTTTGGAAAAAAAAATTAAGATGTGGTACTTATCCCTTAAATAAAAATTTTCATATCTGGAATTAATTAAAAACATATTCTTCGAATTTGAATAATGAATAATAACAATAATACGAATAATTATTCTTAGAATTCTTCTACTTGACACAATTTCATTACCTATAGAATTTACTTTAGCCGAATTTTCATTTCTTTGAATTATTATTTAACAGAAATTCCATTTAACCGAATTTCTATATTTACAGAATTTTTACTTAAACAAATTTTCATTTTACAGATTTTTTACTTCATTGAATTTGAATTTTTTTATAATTATGATTTGCTCGAATTTTTATTTTACAAAACTTTCATTTATACGAATAAATATCTGGCAAAAAAAAAATTGAACGAAAATTTGAAAATTAATTAATCATAATTTCGTTGATAAATTTTTTAAATTTGCTTCAATATTTTCTGCTAGATAAAGGACACCGCACTTTTTACATTAAAAATGGCTTTCAGCCAAATCTTTTGAAACTCTTTAGTTTTGTAGTTTAAGGCTTCCTGAACAAAAAATCCTTATGCCAAAATTCAATCCTATGAGTAGTTTTTTAGCTACAGCACTTTAAAGTTAAAAAATAATAACGTAAAAATAATGTATTTATAAATGTTTTCTTTTTCCCAAATGAATCAAAATCGCTCAAAATCTGTTAATTGGGGGTTTTCGGGGTCTCTGAGTACGAATCTGTGCTCAAAATTTCGGAATTCAAAATGGCGGATCCAATATTCACTTGAGGTGAATTCAAGTTATTTTTCGAAAGCGCGTCTACCATATTGGATCCGCCATTTTGTATTCCGAAATTCTGAGCACAGATTCGTACTCAGCGACCCCGAAAACCCCCGATTAACAGATTTTGAGCGATTTTGATTCATTTGTGAAAAAGAAAACATTTATAAATACATTACGTTATTATTTTCTAACTTTAAAGCGCTGTAGCTAAAAAACTACTCATAGGATTGAATTTTGGCATATAAGGATTTTTTGTTCAGGAAGCCTTAAATTACAAAACTACAGAGTTTCAAAAGATTTGGCTGAAAGCCATTTTCAATGTAAAAAGTGCGGGGTCCTTTATTCAGAAAAATGAAATTTCTGTAAAATAAAAATTCGACGTTTTAAGAATTCTGTAATATCTAAATTCCAACAAATGAAAATTCGGTTCTAGAAAAGAATTCTTTCTATTGTTTTTTTGTAAAATAAAAATACTTTTTTTAATGACTATTCTTTCATTCGAGCAAATAATAATTCTGTTAAACTAAAATTTTATTTAAGTATCAATTCAGTAATATAAAAATTAGGTTAAATGGAAATTCGTGCGGAGGTGGTTGTCCTATATATATCATTTTACGTTACACATTTCCCTTCGCACTCTACAAGCCAATGGAAAATAGATTCTCAGTTTGCGTTTTGCAAGGTTATTTTGCGTTAGACTTATCCAGTAGGGTTTCTACAAATCATGGAAAATATGGAAATTCAATTTAGATAATGGAATTATAGAATCCTTTGTCATTTGTTAAATAAATAAATGAATAAAAGCAGCAATAGCGCCTTGCGCCTAGCTACGACGGCGATTTGGGAGGAAACGCGGCACGCAATTCGAACTAAAATAGATCATACCTGAAAAATCGCACGCAATTCGAAATCACCGCATAGCGTTGTCAAGGAAAACCCATAAATTTTTACGAAAAATCCCAAAGAATGACTATGTATTTACCCTCCCTCCTTCTGACGGCCACATTTTTTCACATAGAGAGCTCAAATTTGGTACACTTATGTATTTTTACGTGAAAATTACAGGAAAAATATAGCGAACATAAGTCAGATCAATTTACATAGCGTTGTCATGGAAAAGTAAAAAATTTTGAAAAAAGCGTTTAATCCCTCTAGCGCACACACTATTTAAGTGGTTCCAGAATAGGTGCAAAAGGCAAGTACAAGTGCAAGTCCAAATGCAAATCCCATGAGTGCAAAAGAGATAGGTAGTCTATCTATCTCTTTTGCACTCATGGGATTTCCATTTTGACTTGCACTTGTACTTGGTTTTTTCACCTATTCTGGAACCGACTTTTGACCAGGACAGTTCATATTTGGTAAACATGCATATTTTTGCGTGTAGATTACAGGAAAAATAAGGTCGGTAATCCTGGAAGTACCACTTCCACAAAAAAAGTTTTTACATATGCCAACATTTAGGGCTCAATTAGGGCTAATTTAGTACCACATTCAAAAATTTAGGGCCCTTTACCTATTTAAAATAACCCTTGGTACTGCTAGCTTGACGTCAAGCTGGGAGTACCACACTATAGAACCTAAATATTTTTCAAAATTTCTTCCATAGGAATTTAGGGCTCATTTAGAGCTCTCAATTGGGACTATTTAAAATTTAAACCCCCCCCCCAATTACAAAAAAACATCCCCAATTATTTAAACTCCATTTAATCAAACAATAATCATATAGGAATTAAGAGCTAAATTAGGGTTCTTCAATAGCACTAAATTCACTTTTTAAAGTGCACCCCAACCACCCCAGCCAAGCAACTAATAGATAGTCAACCACAAAAACTACCCTCAACTAGTTAAAACTTAATATTTTCAAAAACAAACACATACGCATTTAAGACTAATTTAGGGCTCTAAAATATAATTAAATTAGTTATTCAAAAATGATACACCATCTTCAAAAACTACCCCAGAGTAGTTCAAACTTTATTTTTTGAAGATATAAATACTTAGGAACTTAGAGCTAATTTAAAGCTCTTAAATGGAACTACATTGGGTGTTTAAAAATGATACACCAACTTTAAAAACTACCCCAGAGTAGTTCAAACTTATTTTTCAAAAAATAAATACTTAGGAATTTAGGGTTCGTTTAGGGCTCTCAACTGGGACTATTTAAAAATTTTAAACACCACCCCTAAGTACCTACAAAAAACATCCCCAATTATTTAAACTCGATTTAATCAAACAATAATCATACAGGAATTAAGAGCTAAATTAGTTAATTTGAAAAAATTAATTTTTAATTTCTCTGGGGTAGTTTTTAAAGTTGGTGTATCATTTTTAAACAACCAATGTAGTTCCATTCAAGAGCCCTAAATTAGCCCTAAATTCCTAAGTATTTGTTTCTTTAAAAATTAAATTTTGAACTACTCTGGGGTAGTTTTTAAAGTTGGTGCATCATTTTTGAACACCCAATTTAATTATATTTTAGAGCCCTAAATTAGTCTTAAATGCGTATGTGTTTGTTTTTGAAAATATTAAGTTTTAACTAGTTGAGGGTAGTTTTTGTGGTTGACTATCTATTAGTTGCTTGGCTGGGGTGCACTTTTAAAAAGTGAATTTAGTGCTATTGAAGAACCCTAATTTAGCTCTTAATTTCTATATGATTATTGTTTGATTAAATCGAGTTTAAATAATTGGGGATGTTTTTTTGTAATTGTGGTTTTTAAAAATGTTAAATAGTCCCAATTGAGAGCTCTAAATGAGCCCTAAATTCCTATGGAAGAAATTTTGAAAAATATTTAGGTTCTATAGTGTGGTACTTCCAGCTTGACGTCAAGCTAACAGTACCAAGGGTTATTTTAAAGAGGTAAAGGGTCCTAAATTTTTGCATGAGGTACTAAATTAGCCCTAATTGAGCCCTAAATGTTGGCATATGTAAAAACTTTTTTTGTGGAAGTGGTACTTCCAGGATTACCAACCTGGAAATATATAGCGAGCACGATTGGAGTTAATAATCTCATTGTTTTTAAGGAAAACTGATATTTTTAGAAAAAATCATGGATTTTTCCAATAAACAAAGAAGGAAATTTTACCATATCTAAAGGGATTCAAATTTATACATTTTTACGTGTAGATTACAAAAAAAGTATATAGCGAGCACGATTGGAGTTGATGATCATATTGTTTTCAAGGAAAACTGATACTGAACTGACATTGTTACGTATTTTTATTTGTCGATTATAGGAAAAATTTAACAAACATGATAGGAAGTTGTCTTAATTGATCTTTTTTCGAAAAATAATTTTTTTTTAAAAGTGAACTTTTTCCTTAAATCGAGGTACGGAGTCCTCGGTTTCAATGCAAGTGTAATTTGCACTTGTTTGATTTTTAAAATTAAACTTTACTTGTAATATATTATTTTTTGATTTTTTAAATTCCCCTATTTTATCCCTAGAAATTCTATTTCACTGAATTCCCATTTTTTTCGAAAATTTATTTTGGCATATTTTAATTGAATAAATAAATAAATAATTTTATTTTTTCTTTATTTTAATTTTAATAAACTTATTTTGTAAAACCATCACGCGTGTATCAATTAAAATTATTATTAAATATTTCTTAATAAAAGTCTGGAATTCCTCTTATGAAATTCAAAATATTAATTCACTAGGAGGTGACTTATTATTTTTTTATGTTTAAGATCCCTTCCAATTGTACCTGTGAAATAAATAATCATTTTATAAAGTTTATACTTATTGTTAATATATACATTTTTACTTATTTAATATTTTTGAACTATGAACAAAATGTAAAAAAAAGATTAAAATAATTAAATATCCGTAGATTTTAAAATAGTTTAAAAAAAAATTTTTTTCGACGTGTCCTCTTTTTAAACGAAAATGAAATTAATAATATCGAATTTCTATATTACCGAATTTTATAAAGTAGAATTTTTTATTTAAACGAATTACTATTTAGCAAAATTTTCTTTTCGTAGAATTTTTCCTTAACCAAATTTTTTAAATAGCAAAATTTCCATTTCATCGTAACTTTATTTGTCGGAAGTTTCATTTCTACGAATTGTCATTTGAGAGAATTATGAAATCATTGAATTTTCATTTGATCGAAATTGCAAATGTACGAACAAATATCTGACATAGAAGTTTTGGCGCAAATTTTAAAATTCCCGCCAATTCTGTTGGATATTTTTTCGGCCATTTGCAATTTCGGTTAAATAAAAATTTGGCGTTTCAAAAATTCTGTACAGTAAAAATTCGTTTAAAGGTGAAATTGTGTCAAATTCTAATTTGAAAAATGAAAATTCGTCTAAAAAATAATTTATATCTAATAAAATTTTTTCAAATCAAAATTCTAACTAATAATTTTTATGGGGTAATCATGCGCCCCACAAAATGTGTATATGGACGGCACTGAAAAGTGGAGAGTAAACGGAGCTTATGCAGCGTGCATATTCGAATTTGGAAAAGTGGAAAATTTCAGCAAAGCATGCATATTGGAGTTTTGACTGTATTATGAAAATTTTGTAGAATATAAATTCTCTTAAATGAAAAAATTCGATTAATTAAAAAGTCTATTTCGAAAAAGTTCGTCTAAATAAAAATTTCTTTAATTACAATTTATTTAAATATAAATTCTTAAATATGAAAATTCAATTCAATATAGATTCTACTTTCTAAAAGTCAATAACATTGAAATTCGGGCATATTAATTTCAAAAGCTTCAGAAATTCCATAAAATTAATCTGTTCTTTAAAATCTGACTTATTAAAAGTAAATAGTATCAATTACCTTCAGTTGTTGATTAGTTTTTTTCAAAAATTGAATTTCTTCAGTATATTTTTTTTCTTCAGCTTCTCTTAATACTGCATTTCTTTTCTCAGTTTGTTCTTGTTTTTGTTTCAATTCTGCAACAGTTTTTTCTAATTCCATTTTTTGTGCCAATAATGCCTCGGCAGTGGTGACTAAATCTTCTTTTCCTTGTTCAGCCTAATAATTATAGTATTACTTAAATAGATGATAATTTAAATTATAATTTTAATTGTTATATAAAATTCTATTTTATTTATCTTATAAAAATAGGGATATTAAAATTTTTTGTAGTGTAGAGATATATATATGTACAAACTTGAAGTGCTTTCCTAATGCCAAATGCAACACTGCTTTGATATAGTGTTTGGTATGCTGACATTGTCATTTTTATTTCATCGCGAACCCTCAGTAGTAAAATTCCTCGTTCTGTACAGTTGATAGTTATTTGACGAATCAATTCATCTGTAATAATTTTTTTTTAAACTGATTTTCTTGTAGAATTTTTATATAAACGAACATCATAGAATTTACATTTGATTGAATTTTTATTTGTCAGAATTTGTATTTGTTTGAATTTTCATGAATAGCCATTTAAACGAATTTTTAGTCAGCGGAATTTCATCTAATTTTCTTTTAGAACAATATTCATTTGTTCGAATTATTATTTGATAGAATTTCCATTTAACCGATTTTTTATGCGCGCGCATCCATTGCCAATTGTTGTCAAAAAATTTAGTTTACGTATTCCACTATTTCTATAATTATAACTATTATTATTATTATTATTAGTATTATTGAAATTATAAACAAATTTTTTTTGTTAAAAAAGATAAAATTTTTATATCCTTCCAGGTAAAATTTTTGGGTATGTGAAATAAATTTTTTGTTAACAGTTGGCAATGGATGCGCGCGCATCGTCTTGTTTTAAAAAATCGTATTCGATGCGTATCGTGTGCGATTTAACTGTTGTGGAAGCAGCCTTAAAATGTTGTTATGTAGCATACCAAAACATTGATTGAATAATTCCCGTCGCACTGGACATATTCCAGTTTCTCTTGCTTGACGTTGCTGCAGTCTCATATCCATTTGCTCTTGCAAATTTATCACATCAAGCCTTGTAGCAGGGGTACTTGATACCTGTTATTATGTTTAATTATTATTATATACCAAAAATTATTTACATATACCTTTAATTATAATAAATTTATGTCTATATTTTATTAATTTTAAAACTATTCTTTATGACTTAGAGAAAAAATTATTACAATTTCAAAAACGTACTTTTTGGAATATTTTGAAAATTTGACATTAAATTTGTAATCAATTACCCCCAAAACTACCAAGTAATAAGATTCATAAAAATCCATCAACAGTGTCAAAATTAAGAATTTTTTTAAAAAAAATTTTGGGATTTAAATATTAAAAGTTAATTTTTGTGTGTAACAAGTGAATTTGTTAACATACTTTTTGCATCCATTGTTGACCATCTTCTTGCCATTTTCTTGGTGGTAATATGCCATTTAATATTTCTACGGGCTCTTTTTCTACTTCTACTGCTGTAAATTTCCTTTGGAAAGCAAAACTTTCAATACCAGCATTTAATAAATCAGGCTCTCTAGCTTGTTGATGTTGATCGGATAACTATATTTTAAGTAGTTATACAAATTATATGTTTCATATCATCAGAACTTGCACATTTAGTTTTTACTTAATAAAAATCCATTATAAATTGAAGGTTAGTAAGAGCCACTATAATTTGTAAACCGATTTTATTTTAAAATAAAACTAATATTAAGAATCCATTATTAGACATTGTTAAACATAAATATACTTTTTCTTGTATTCTAATACTGAGAAAAAATTCATTTGATTCAAATATTATTATTATCAATTATATTACCATTATATTACCATTTATATTATTATCAAATAAATATTTACTTGAATCAAATAATTTATATTTGTATTAAATAATCTATTTGAATTAATAATTTTTGTATTGAAAACAATTACCATTTAATTGAAATAATTACCATTCATTTAAATAATAATTATTTAATACAAATAGATATTTATTTGATCATAGTCAAATAATCGATTATTTGAATCAAATAAATTTTTTCCAGTGAAGTTATTTCTACATTTATTATAAGAAAGATAATTATTTCTAATCAATGAAATAAATTTATGGTTGACACAGGTCAGGGAATTTTATGAAAAGTACTCGAAAAATATCAAATTTCTAAAAATGCTACTAAAATTCTAATTTTTGAAATTTTCAATTCAAACTTTTGCTTCTAAAAATTATTGTCTTTTATTTTGCTTCCTCGTGGAGGAAGCTATGTAGTCCTTTCGTTTATAAACTTTTTAAAAATGGTGAAAACAAATTTTCCTCTATATAGAAACATGTTATATGAGATCCTGATCAATTGTCCGGATGTATGTATGTGTGTGTGTGTGTGTGTGTGTGTGTGTATGTGTGTGTGGATCGTTTTTGTGAACACGATATCTTTAACAGGTTTTAATGGATTTAAGGTAATATATAATATAATCGTCTTCTTTATCTCAAGATGAATCGATTGATATATATAAAGTATAGATTTGATTGAAATTTAAAGAATTAAAGAAAGTTAAAAAATCAAAAATTCTCATTTTAGCTAAAAAATGATGTGTTTATTTAAATTCATGTTTATATATGAAATAATTTTATTCCCTGCATTGAAACGAATTGGTTGGTATATATAAAGTATAGATTTGATTTAAAATTCGAGAATTAATAAAAATTGAAAAATCGAAAATTCATATTTTAGCTAAAAAATTTTGTGTTTTTTTTAAATTCAAGTTGATGAATAAAATAATTGTATTCCTTGCATTAAAACGAATCGATTCGTATATATAAAGTTTATGTTACACTCAAAATTAATTAAAATTTTCTTTATTTTTCAAAAAATTTAATTAATTTAAAACATTTTTAACTCGAAATTTTTTAAATCAATCAATTGAATTGGACAAATTCATTGCTTCCTTCACGAGGAAGCGAATTTTTTGCTTCACACAATGAGGAAGCATAATGTTTATGAAATAAACATAAAGGACCCCCTCCTTGTTTATAATTGTAGGCCTCGGATCGACTTTTGAAAGAAAGAAAATTTATTATTAACAAATTTATTAGAAATTAAATAAAATTTCTTAATTTCTTAATAAGAATATTTCACAGAAATATTTTCAACAATTTTTCTTTTTAAACCACCGAATTAAACTGAGACAAATTTTCAAGATTTCAATTCAGTTTCAGAACAAATTTTCAAAAATAATTTATAGTTACATTAAAAAAAATAACTTTTTTTCAAGTCTGATTTATGCACATTATTCGAATTCAGAATTTTGGAAAATATTTTAAATAATTAAATTTTCGAAAAATTTCATTAAAATATTATTAAAAAAAAAACATAATTTTAAATGAAAATTTGTGAAATAATTGAATGTCAGAAGATTTTTAATTAAAATGTTTAAAATAATTGAAGTTGAAAGAGTTTGATTTAAAATTTTTAGAAATAATTGAATTTCAGGAGATTTTAAAATAAAATTTTTATAAATTTGAATTAATGAAATTTTTTTCCAAATTTCAGACAATAATTGAATTTCAGAGAATTTTCAATTGAAATATGTTTTGAATAATTGAATTTTGAAGGAGTTACAGTTAAGATTTTTAGAAATAATTGAATTTTTGAAATTTCAAAAATTATAAATTTGTTGTAAATATAAACATTAATTAAAAAACGATTTAAATAATTGAATATTTGAAAAATTTGATTAAAACTGTTTAAATAATTAATTAAACAATGAATGATATAGATAAGAATTTGTGAAAAAAAATTTCAATTGCATTAACATTCAATTACCAATTAAATTTGGAAGAGTTCGAGTTAAAATTTTTTTCGAAGTAATTAAATTTCAGAAGATTTTAAATTGAATCTTTCATAAATTTTAATTGATAAAATTTAAACAAAAAATTTTAAAGAATAGAATTTCAGAGTATTTTTAATTAAAAACCTTTTTATTTCCCTGAATTGTTGAAAAACTGTAATAAAGTAATTAAAAAAATTAATTTAGTGAAGAATTTTAAATAAAAATTTTTAGAAATCATTAAATTATAGAGAATTTTAGAGAATTTTCAATTGAAAATTGTTTTAAAAAATTGAATTTTCGGTTTTTTATTTTTGAAATTTTCAATTAAAATTTTAATAATAATTAATAATTAAAAAAATTTTATGAAATTGAAATTTTGAAAAACTTGATTAAAAGTTATTTATTTAATTATTTATTGAGATTTAATCCAACAATCCGGAGACCAATTACAGGATTATTAATACATAATATAAAGATAAAGCAAGTATGATGATAAACACAGCGATATTACAAAACAAGTGTTAAAATATATCTAAATGACAATATAACATAGCGAAATTAGTTCTTTCGAGTAATGTTATGTACAAATTTTGAAAAAATAGTTAAAAGAATGAAAATTCATATCGAAATCAGAATCATTGCAAACATTATTATTAATTACATCGCACATATTATTTAATATAGTATTTTGTAGAGATTTACATCCAACATAAGTAGGTTAAACGTTTCTAAGATTTCGTTTTAGAAATAATTAATTGAAAAAGAAATTGAATTTAAGAATTTGAGAAATAATTGAGTTTTGCTCAATAGTTAAAATTTTTGGAACTAATTGAATTTCAGGAGATTTTTAATGAAAATTTTCGTAAATTGGAATTTCTATAGATATTTTATAAGCTTTTAATAATAATTAAACTTTGGAGAATTTTAAATTGTAAAATATTTAAACTAATTCAATTTTCAAAAAAGTTGATTAAAATTATTAAAATTAAATTATTCAACAATTTCAATTTTAGATAGAAAATTTAGAAAGAATTGTATTTTAAAAGTGTTCGAGTTAAAATTTTTAGAAATAATAATTGAATTTCAGATTATCAATTGAAAATTTCATTTTGAATTGGTAAAAATTTTTTTAAAAACTTTAGACAATAATTGAATTTTAGTGAATTTTTAATTGAAAACTTTTAAATCATATAATTTTCGAAGAATTTGTTTTAAATTATTGAAAATAATTGATTTTGCAAACAATTCAAGTTAATATATTTTTTTAATAATTCATTTAAAAATTAAAAAAATTCGTAAAAGTCGTGCAATCTGAGGCCTGTTAGTGAATTCCTTTTGAAATATTTTCCTTAGGATAAGGGAAAACAAAATAATATTTTTGTGTCAACCCTGTTATTTCTAACCAATGAAATAAATTTTTATTTGCAAAAAGAAATTTCCAATTTTTTATCTCGCTAATAAATTTATTTAAAGGAATGGAATTTTTTTTACCGTAAATATTATTTACGGTAAATAGTCGTTCTTCTGCTTGAATAAGTTATGCGCATAATTTTGTCATGTATTTTTTTTTCTCTTACACACATAACCTAACTGAAAAAGTTCGGCGTTTATGAAATTAACTATAATTATTTTGATATAGTTCTATAATGAACATGTAAAAACGGAACCTTAAAAAAAATCACTACTTGCAATCAGTGTTTGTATATATATAATAATAATTTCAAATTACATAATATTATATTTTCTCTTTACGTAAAAATATTACCTCTTCTGCTTTGGAAGAAACTAAAACTGGATTATCATATTTAACAAGCGATTCCATAATTTCTTTATCTTGATAAAGAAAATTTAGAAAGACAAAAAAAAATATTGTCAAATTTAAATTTAATATAAATGTCAATTTTCTAGTTCTTTTTAGAAAACAATGTGCATTTATAAATATATGCGATTACTATGGCAATATTGATATAATAAATGGAGGAACAAAGGATTGATGTTCACGAAAATCTGTTTCTATTTTTTTTTTAATGCAAATTATTTGCAAATGTTCATTGAATTTTGTGTCAAATTTTTTTTAACTTTGACTTATTATTATTTTTTGTATGACTAAAAATCATTTTAACCTTTTTCAAAATTGTATTTTGTTTCGATATTTATTGAAGTCTGTCATTTTGAATTTTGTTTAGAATTTTTTCTACTCTTTTACAAATAAAATTCACATAAAATTAGCTTAAATTTTATAGGATCAGTTGGGGTAAATGGGGACAAAATCCCAATTTTTCACAAATTACGTAAGTTTCTTCTTTTAAAAGGAAATATTTGCGGGTTTATTTTTTTTTAAGTTGTTATTTACATTCCCAGGATTAATTTTATGCAGCAATAAAAAATTTAGATAAGCTTTAAACGCATGAAACTGACTGTCCCCATTTACCCCAAAATTTAGAAAATTTCATAAAATTTGGGTTGCATAATTTTTAACTAATTAAATTAATTTTTTATATTTTTTTAAATATTTTTAATTTTTTTTTGTAATTAATTTTTGAATTTTATATTTTTGGTTTTTTTAATTTATTTATTATTAGGTTTTATTATATTTTATTATATTTTTTATTTATTTTTTATTATTGTTTTATTTATTATTAATTATTTATTATATTTTTATTATAATATTTTATTATATACAAAATAATGCCAAAAAATAAATTAAAAATATTTAAAAAAAATATAAAAAAATAATTTAATTAGTTAAAAATTATGGTATATTATGAAAAAATAACGGCAATTAATACTAGAAATTAAAATGATAAATAAAGTAAATATATATTAAGATATATAAATATTATTATTACATTAACAAATGTTTAATACATTTAAAAAATTTTATTCATCTTTTCAATAAGTACTTTCATATTTTAAATAAATTTCATAAAATATAACAATAATAACATTGATTAATTAACAAATAAAATAGAAAACACAAAATTTCTATTTAAAAGCATTTTGAAAAAGCCCGCCGTTTTTCAACTGTTTTTCAACAGTCGAGGGTTAAGAGCAAGATTTTTTTATTCTCTAATAGTTGGTCGAGTAGGTTCTCGGTTAGGGTCTTTGATTAATGTCTGTCGAACCCGGGTTCAATTCCCAGTCCCCTCAAATTTGTTTCGAAAATTTTCTCGTTAAATTTCCAAATGAAAATAAACAGGACATAATTAATAATAATAAACGTCACAAGGATTTTCAAATTTAGAAAACAAATAAATTTTTTTTAAATTTAAAATGTATTTTTTTAAAATTGCAGCAACCTTGCAGCAACCTTTCCAGAAGCTTGTTGAAATTCTCCTGCAACCTTACGTAGCAAGCTTACAGCAATCTTTCACGGCAAGCTTGCCCTGGGTAGGACATTTCGCAAGCTCAGACAAGCTTGCCGCAAGCTTGCTGCAAGTTTCCGTGCTATCTGGGTAGATATATAGTAGTTGAACCAATTGAAATTTTTTTCATTTTTTTTTTATTTCAGTATTTTGTCTCCCATTTCAAAGAAAACAGACTTAAAAATCATAAAAAATTTTTTCTTATTCCTTATGACTCCCATAACATAAATTCAATTGAATTTTTGATTTTTGTCAATTTGGTTAATAAAAAAAATTGACAAAAATCAAAAATTCAATTGAATTTATGTTATGGGAGTCATAAGAAATAAGAAAATTTTTTTTATGATTTTTAAGTCTATTTTCTTTGAAATGCGAGACAAAATACTGAAACAGTTTGACTTTGATTTTCAAGATTTTATGCATTGAGCGATAACTTTTTTTTATCTTGCTGCCAATTGTCAAGATAAAAGCTTGACAATACTCAGAACCTGTTGTAGGTGACCTGAGGTTAAAATATTGACGTTAAACTTAATTTTAAAACTGTAAATTAAGCTCCAAACACCTCTTGTCCCCATTTACCCCAACTGACCCTAATTAATTTTTTTTTATATTTATTTAAAAATTATTTTATAAGGACGAAAGATTTTAAAGTTGATTAAAGGTCATTAATATACAATTTAAAGAAATTTGACGCGAAGGACATTTTAAAAAAGAGGACTTGATATGTAGTAAATTTTAGAATAAAAAAAATTTTCTTTGAATTAAAAAAAAAAATTCTTTGACCCTATATCAAAGAAATACCGACTTTACAAAAAAAAAAAATAAATAAACAATTTGAAAGGCTTTGAAATATAGTTTTAATTTATTTATTTATTTATTGAAAATATACCGTCAGAGCCGATTCGTAGAGTACTGATAAGATACATTAAGTCATTAAGTGACTACATTGTACTATTAAATATAAATTTTTTTTTTTATTTTATCAAAATTTCAATTCTCAATTGTTGATATAATATATTTTTATTATATATTTAATTGCATGAGTGTATAATTCTATTGAAGTAATAAAATAATTGAGAATATGACGTTTTTTAATTAAGTTTTTCTATATTAAAATGACAACTGAATTCCAATTGTTTAAGTGCTTATCTGATAAAATTTGTTATGACAATGCGATAATAGTTTATGTTCTTTTCCGTTGTGTAACATATAATGAGTGCACCTTTATAAATAATCCTCTGCCTGCAACAAAGATCACATTATTAGTAGCTATGGAGTCTTTTCTATTCATTTTTTGTGCATTATTTTTGTGCAGTCATGTGATTGGTGAAATTAAAAATAAAGATTGGTGGAAAAATACAGTGTTTTATCAAATTTACCCTTGGAGTTTTCAAGATTCTGATGATAATGGAATTGGCGATTTAAAAGGTACTTTTTAGTTTTAAAAATTAAAATCTCCATTATCGTAAATCTTCAATGATGATAGAATTTTAGTACTGTGAATATCAAGTTTTCAGATTTGAATTTCTTTTCATATTTTCTCTATTAGTACAAATTTAATTAAAATTTTTATTTTTTACATTATTTATTCCATTATGAAATTAGGTGAGTAGTGATATTTTAAATTATAGTTGACATTAGAAAAAAAAAGTGCAACTTTTGATAAAAATTAAGTTTACCAACTTAGAAAGAATCATATTTTGTTCTAATTTTAAGAAAGTTGGAAATTTTTTTTATTGTTTTCACTATAGATAGTTAAGACATAATTTTATAAATGTAATAATGTAAAAATTGAGTATATTATTTTTAATATATGTAAATTATCTCATTTGTATTAATGAGATATGTACAATACGAAACTTCACGCGCGCTTTAGCACGCGATACTTTTGCTAGTAATTATTAATGTTATTATACTTAACTCTCTTAATTAATGACATCGCGAATTGGCGGCCTTCTCGAAATTTTTAAAATTTAGACTTTTTTGAAACGCATGAATAATGCCTAAAATTAATTTGTTCCTTTTTTTTGTCAGAATTTTCATTATTGTTCTAATTAATTTCCGTTAGAAAATTTTGGCCTCGAATTTTAAAACTCGAATCAGAACCAATATGGCAAATGAATTTGATTTTATGAAACTTTGTATCTAGTGATAAAAAGAAGTTTATAATATTTTTTATAATTCTTAGGGATTACAAATAAATTGCAACATTTCGTCGATTGTGGCATAGGTGCAATATGGTTATCTCCAATATATCAAAGCCCTATGGTTGATTTTGGTTACGATATTTCTGATTTTCGTGCAATTGATGAAAGATTCGGTACTATGACAGATTTTACGGATTTAACGGCAAAAGCAAAACAGCTAGGTTTAAAGGTGGGTAAAAAATTAAATTCTTTATCAGATTGCGGCGAACATAAAAGTTACAAAGTTAATCGTAAGTGGATTCGATTGGAACTTGTTATCTTGGGATTTGTGGAATCGCTGTGATTACAAATCTGAAGGATATTTAATTTCAAAATACCTTTAATTTTTCAAAAATCAATTCGATATTATAGATTACAAAAAAATTATATTAGATTTACTGGTTTGAATCACACAAATTGTTATCCTTTTATTTTTATCAATATTACAAATTGTATAAATATTGTCCTTCCGGTTTGACCGTATTTTGAAAAGTCCTGAAACTTCTATAATAATTTTATTATAGTTACAATATACGCCATGAACTAATAAAATTGTTATAGAAATGTTAGGACTTTTCAAAATGCCGTCAAATCGGAAGGACAACATTTATGCAATTGGTTGTTAAATGAAATACTTCCAATGTGCCCAGGTTGTTCTTGATTTGGTACCAAATCATACATCTGATAAACATGAATGGTTTCAAAAAAGCATAGAAGGCGTAGAACCGTATGATAAATATTTCATATGGAAAGCAAACAGAACTGGAGATTCACCGCCAAACAATTGGATAAGTGTATTTAGTGGTCCTGCTTGGGACTATAATGAGAAACGAAAACTTTGGTACTTTCATCAGTTCGAATATCGTCAACCTGATTTGAATTACGCTAATCAAGACGTTAAAACGGAAATGGAGGTAAGTTGAGGTTTAATTTGTTTAAATTCCATATTTTTGTGCGTCTATAACGCTTTATTCATTTATAATGGTACTAGAGTACTTTTTATATTCGTAAAGTCGCACCATCATCTAGTTATACAACAAAGGATATTGATACACATAGCCAGCGCAGGTAAAATGTGTCTATTCAATCGATGACTAAATATCGTTGCGCCATAAAGTTGAAAAGAATAGAAATTGCTATGGAAGCAGGCTGTTCTAAAAACATTTTTCAAAACCTGAAACGTCCTTAAAAGATTAGTTTAGCAGACTTTAAAAATAAACAAATTGATCTTTTTTTTTTGAAATGCCGAATGTTTTTGAAAGCGAAAAACTATAAAAAAAAGTTTTTCCGATTTCAAAAAAAAAAAATTATTTTTGACAAATCTTTCTAAATCTGTTCAAGTGAAAAGTCTTTGAGTGTTAATGCACTTTTTTTAATGAGGAAGAATTTTGAAATATAATCAGATTTAGAGAGTAAGTAGTTGAGAGTGATAGTAATAAAATTTAATACCAATTATATCTAAACAATACCCAAATCTGTTACAAAATTGACCACCTGTAACGTACCTTGTTTCCTTTTGTTTAATGTTGTGCAATTGAATGACTTTTTAAACGAGTTAACATAAAATGAAACCTGTCTATTCTTTTAGTGAGAAAACTTTGACTTTTACCCTACTCTTTCTTACTTATTTAACACGTCAGTCCAAAATTTCTATGAAATCAGTTCGCAATTATTTCAGGCCAATTTGAATTTAGTTTTATATATGGAACTTAATACGAAATGATTCTAAATTTGTATGGAAGACCATTTTATATTGTATCGCAGCTGCGCTTTTTGGTGGACAGATACTGTACTAAATTGTTTGTTCCACAAATTATTAAGTCTGAATTCGCACTGTATTGACGCTGTTGCTATTCGATTTTAGTACTGCGAAGTACAATATCTGCTCCTCAAAAAGTTCAGATGATGAGTTAAAATTCTCTCAGTGTATGATAGAATTGCCTCGAAAAGTGAAAATAAAAATTTTCCTGATGCAGTAAAATTGAAAAAGAGAATTGTAAATGTAAATTATTATGTAAGACGATTTATCTATATAATTATTTTATTTCCTTTAAACAGAATGTAATTAAATTTTGGTTGGGAAAAGGTGTCGATGGATTTCGAATAGACGCTGTACCTCATCTTTTCGAAGATGACAATCTTACAGATGAACCTAAATCAAATGCACCCAATTCAACAGAAAGGGATTATACCTATTTGAATCATATTTATACCAAAGATGATCAACGTACTTATGAATTAGTACAAAGTTGGAGGGACATTATGGACGAATGGGCGAATACAAATAATGAAGACGAAAAGGTACTATAGTTTTACAGTAGAAAGTAATTCGTTACATCCGTACAGAGTTCTAGAAATAATCTGACTTTGTTAGAAACACCTGTAAATAGTGTGTGTATAACGAATAGAACTAAAAATCCTTGTCATTCTTTAACAGGTCATGATGACGGAAGCTTATACAAGTTTAGAAAATACAACCAAATTTTATGAATACGGTTCTCATATTCCTTTTAATTTTAAATTTATTACGGATGTATCAGTAAAATCAAAACCAGATGAATTTAAGACTTTAATTGAGACGTGGATGAAACACACGCCTGAAAATTATGTCCCTAATTGGGTTGTAAGTGTATATTTTTTTTATCTTTACATAATTCAGTTAGTAGTTAAATGTTTATTGTCGATATTAAAAAGAGTTGAAAGAGAAAATAGTTTAATTTCTTATTTGTTAGATGGGCAACCATGATAGACCTCGAACAGAAACACGATATCCTGGTAGAGGTGATCAAATGACAATGCTTGCTATGATTTTGCCAGGAGTGGCCGTAACATATTATGGTGAAGAAATAGGCATGGTTGATAAAACTGATATTTCTTGGGAAGATACACAAGACCCTCAAGCATGTAATGCTGGAAAAGATAAATATCAATCTCGTTCTCGTGATCCAAATAGAACACCTTTTCAATGGGATAACTCAAAAAATTCAGGTTTAACATTTAATCATTTTGTAGTGAAACTGTTTTAATTTAACGTTTATCATTTTATAGAAATGAAATGATTTTTCAATCCTCGTATACGGATGTAAAGTAAATTTTCCCTTTAAAATTCTTTGATTTTAGTTGACGGTATATAATTATTAAGAAATATTTTGCAGGTTTTACAAATGGCACTCCATGGCTCCCTGTCAATAGTAACTATAATACTTTGAATCTGGCAAACCAAAAACAAATTGATAATTCTCATTTTAAAATGTATCAAGCTTTAACCAGTTTACGAAAGACGTCTCCTGCTATTAAAGATGGTACTTTGAAAACAATAACTGCAAATAATAATCAAATGTTGGTAATTCTCCGAGAGCATGAAAATGAAACGATATCATTATTAATAAACTTTTCTGATGAGGATAGCCAAAGTATTAATTTGAATTCACATCTGACAAATGCTGATAAAATGACTACTGTTGTGCAACTCGCAGGATCAAATTTACCAAATATTAAATGGGGGTAATTTTTTTCAATACTTTTATATAAATAGTTTTATAAGTAATGCCTTTTTCTCACATTTTTTACACTGCCCTTGGAGGTTCACTTCTGAAACAGATAACTAGAGCTCGTACTCCTATTAGGTAAAATTTCTACTCTTGTTCTGATCAATCTTCTAAAAACCACTCCCTTTAGCTGAATTCTCCGAAACCGATGTTAGGCTTCTTTTTAGGTAATGGTTCTTGGGATCAATTAGACCACTGCAGATCTTCCTGACTTATTTGTTTTTGTTTTTTTTAAGAGTCTGCTTTGCTTCATAAAGAGTTGACCTAAAGACTTCTCATATTCTGCTAACTGTAACATGATTACTGTTTATTTTCCCATTTAACCGTACTTTCTTGGTTTCCAAGACATCTTAAACGTTGGCACAATGTTCTAGGACACTTTGGAGCATTTTAAATAAATTTAAAAGACGTCTTGGTGTCCACTATGTACAGGGACATTTTTAAGCAATTCTGGGAAATTTCAACACTTTCAGGACGCAGAACGTTCGTAAGACATTTTCCGGTCATTCTAGGGATTTCCCTGGGTCAAACATAAAACGTTCTTTGAATATCGTCATTTATACGTCCCTAAAACATTAACACCTCTCCTGGGACAGTTTGGAACGTTCTTAGTACATCCAAAGACGTTTTGATGCCAACCAGGTTTATTCGAAAATCTCCTAAAAGTGAACCATCACAGATTCAGATATAATAGTAACTGTTTTTTGTGGATCCAAAAAGTAACTGGTCGGAGTTTTTAATATCCAGGTCTACGTGCCAAGATTAAGTCTCATGTCCTCCATAATGAGCACAAAATCTGATCCCAATGCACTTCCGGGTATAAGAAGGCCGCTCAGTATTAAACGTGAATCAAGATAGGATTTCATTAAGGCCAGGGTCTTTGAGATAAAAGGGTGAAAAGACCACGTTTCTTTAGTCGTAGTGTAAATCCCTAAAGGGCTTATACTTTTCACAGAAAAAAAGGTGGGTAAAAAGTTGTAAAGATAGAGGATAAAAGTCGTTAGGATACAGGGTAAAGGATAAATTTGTGATGGATAAAAATGTTACTAAAATATTACTAGAAAAATGGATGTTATATTTGAGTAAACTGTCTAATTTTAATAAAAATATTAGTAATTTTACACTTAACTTATTAAATACACAAATTTTATATAAACAACTAATTGCACGTGGAAATATTTTGCCTATAATTATTGTCTATTAATAAAAATATCTTTGACTAATACAACTGACAGCTGACGACAGTGCGTAAATAATCAGAACTGGGAAATTACAACTCAACGTCTGTATTGTTGCACGAAAGCAGAGTTGGGTATTAGTAACTGAATTTTTTGTGCATATTAGGCTGTGTCAGTTCATCGAGATATTTCGAGTTCAAGATATGACGTCAGAGGCCTGGAGGGACAACAAACAGACGACACAATGTTATTCTTACGGGGAAGAAAATTTGTTTCCACTTTCATCAATTTTATTCTTACTTTAAACACGGAAAACGCTTGTTGACTTATAATAAAATTAAAATGTGTGTTGATAATTAATTTTGTTATATATTTAATTCATTTGCATTGATAGATTCTCTAAATTCGTGATAAAATATAAATTTAGAGGTTAGGGGTGTTTGTTTACTAACTTGAAATCTTTTACTGCTGCGGTAATTCCCACTTAAAATATATATTTTATATCTTTTTTAATAACATGCATACTGGATATTGTTTAATAATGTTAAAATGTAAAATGTGATTAGTAAACAAACTTTTCTAACCTCAATATTTATATTTTATCACGAATTCAGAGAATCTATCAATCAAATGAATCAAATATATAAAAAAATTAATTATCAACACACATTTTAATTTTATTATATGTCAACAATCGTTTTCCGTGTTTAAAGTATGAATAAAATTGATGAAAGTGGAAACAAATTTTCTTCCCCGTAAGAATAACATTGTGTCGTCTGTTTGTTGTCCCTCCAGGCCTCTGACGTCATATCTTGAACTCGAAATATCTCGATGAACTGACACAGCCTAATATGCACAAAAAATTCAGTTACTAATACCCAACTCTGCTTTCGTGCAACAATACAGACGTTGAGTTGTAATTTCCCAGTTCTGATTATTTACGCACTGTCGTCAGCTGTCAGTTGTATTAGTCAAAGATATTTTTATTAATAGACAATAATTATAGGCAAAATATTTCCACGTGCAATTAGTTGTTTATATAAAATTTGTGTATTTAATAAGTTAAGTGTAAAATTACTAATATTTTTATTAAAATTAGACAGTTTACTCAAATATAACATCCATTTTTCTAGTAATATTTTAGTAACATTTTTATCCATCACAAATTTATCCTTTACCCTGTATCCTAACGACTTTTATCCTCTATCTTTACAACTTTTTATCCACCTTTTTTTCTGTGAGGTTTATTCGAAAATCTCCTAGAAGTGAACCATCACAAATTCACGTATTTTTGTGGAAAAGGGGTTTTTTTTATTCACTATTTTTTGTGGATCCAAAAAGTAACTGGTCGGAGTTTTAATATCCAGGTCTACGTGCCAAGATTAAGTCTCATGTCCTCCATAATGAGCACAAAATCTGATCCCAATGCACTTCCGGGTATAAGAAGGCCGCTCAGTATTAAACGTGAATCAAGATAGGATTTCATTAAGGCCAGTGTCTTTGAGATAAAAGGGTGGAAAGACCATACGTTTCTTTAGTCGTAGTGTAAATCCCTAAAAGGCTTATACATTTGAACGTGAATTTTATAAACAATTTTTGAGTTTATAATATTGTTTTCAGAGAAGTGATTGATACGTCAAATGTAAAAGTGCCAGCAAGCTCATCTTTAGTCTTAGTATCTAAACCAAAAGATAATTCAGATAATGCAGGAACATCACAAAAGCCGTTATTCAAATTTCTATTAATAGTATTTGCAATTTTAACTTATTATCAATTTTAGGACAAATTTAGACTATTAAAAGCAAATAAAAAAAATTGTCGTATTTGTTATTATAAGCTTTTAATAATTTATTCAGTTTGTTTCATACATAATTTAGTTTATAGTTTTAAGAAAATGTTCTGTAGAACAATAAATATTAAGAATTTTGTTTATTTCTTAAATAAAAGAAATGTGTCCTTAAAACGTTAAATTATTGTTGAAATCAGTAAAGTTGAAATTTCGATCAATTATAATACCTTTTCATATATGAGAATGTAAATATAAAAATTGCTTAATTACGTGGTATGCTATGAACAGTGATTTTAAAATTTTTATACAATTAACACATACAGAATTTAGAATACCATGAAAGTCGATGAAATAAATAAAACTAACGCATGAGGGAGATCGCTCATGCGATCTCATGTAGAAAATATTCATGGAAGACTAGATACTACAATAGTAATCATACAATTTACGTAACGTTTAACTTAAAACGTAAAACCATATTTTTTTCTTGCGATCCAATTAAACTATGATAAATCTATCAAAAAAAAAGTTTTAATTTCACTACAATTAACAAAAAATTGTTTGCAATTTAAATGTATACAGAAAGTTTACGCATGAGGAAATTTTCTGTGATTGTTTTAAAAAGTAAAAATTATTTATAATCTTAATATTATAAAAATAAAATTTAGCTCGTACATTCAGTCATAAAATTTTAAAACCAAGAATTTTCTTCAGAAAAAATAATAGATAACTAAATTTATTAAATCCTGATTTAATAATTTATATAGTATATCTTTTATGAAGAAAATTATTTGTTTATAAATGTTAAATAAAAATATTCTTAACAATTATTATTTTGTTCCTTTTAATTACTTATTGATTAATCTTTATAATTTATTTTAAAAAAGTAATTTAATAATTTATCTGAGGGGTAAACAATTACGATGCTTCATTTACTTTAAGATAATTTAGCATATTTCAAAATATTTTGAGATAATTTACAGTACTTCAAGATATTACAGATAATTCGCGTTACTTTAAATAATTTACATTACTTTAGATAATTCGGGATACTTTAGATAATTCAAGTACTTTAGGATAATGTAAGATATTTCAAAATATTAAGAGATATAATTTACAGTACTTCAAGGTATTTTAGATAATTCACGTTACATTAAATAATTTACATTGTTTTAGATAATTTACGTGATTTTAGATAATTCATGATATAATTTAATTAATTCAAAATATAATTTAATTAATTCAAAATATAATTTAATTAATTCAAAATATATCAAATACTTAAAATAATTCAGGATATTACAAAATAACCTTACAATAGAAAGTAATCGCTTCGACAATCATGTAAACATAATTTTATATATTGAAACTCTTTTGTGTAAATTCATTGAATTTTTAAACAAATATATTATCTACCTATATTTATCTAATTCAGGATATTTCAAGACAATTCTCAGTACTTCAAGGTGCTTCAGGATATTTCACGATATCTTCATTTAAGTTTACCCCTCGATTTTATTAAAAAAAATTTATTTATAATTCAGGTGACGTAATCTGAATAACGTGAAAAATATTTTTTTCAACTTTTACGCAAATAATTTTAGTTAAGGGGACTTTCTGGTTTAGAATTGACAAAAAAGACACGTTTTAAAACTTTTATTGTAAGAAAAGTATTAAAGAAATTGCAAAAATTGTTTTTGGACATTGTTGCATATTACATAGAGAAATAGCCCTAATAACACAAGATATCTTGGGATATATTGATAATATCCCACAGATATCCTAAAGATGTCCTATGGATATCAAAAGGGTCTCTTAAGGATATCCGAAAAATCGGCGGTTTGGATATCTGAGGATATCCACAGGATATCTTCTGGATATCTCTATATACTTTCATAAATGTCCTCCAGATATCCCATAGATATCGTCAGGATATCCCACAGATATCATCAGGATATTCCATAGATATCGTCAGGATACCCCACAGATATTTTCAGGATATTCTCAGTATATCTTCTGGATGTCAAGAAGATATTCTCAGGATACTGTTTTTAAAGTCATTATGAGAATACGAGTGAGAATATTCTGTGAATTAAATTTTATATAAATAAAATAAAATGCAACTTGTTTTTCGAGAAAGTTGTTTAATTTGAAAAATTATTAACTAATTTTTTTCTCATTCGTGATTCATTCCTTTATTCATATGCTTAATATTGTCAGAAAATAAATTGGCTTTAAACAATATAAATTCTTCCCCGCAAATAACGAATAACTATTAATATTAATTATACATCAAGTGCATGAGTTTATTTAAAAACTTTGAAAAATGCGTTTCAAATCTTCATTTAAAATAAATTAGAAGCTCATAAGATTTTTCTTTTTATTATATTATTATTCATTATATTAGCTAAGAATATTCCACGGACATCCTGAGGATATCCCATGGATATCCTGCGATATAATATCCAATAGATATTTTGTGGATGTCTTAGGGATATCCTGTGGATATCCTATGGATGTTCTGTTAATGTCCCACAGACCGGCGGTTTGGATATCCTAGGGATTTCCCAAGAAATCCTGGGGACCATTCTAGGATATCGACCATTGATATAGATATCCTAGTGATATCCTTTTGTTATGTGGGTTATAATACATAAATTTTGTACTTGAAGTAAATATATTTTCATAATTTTGTTGTACAGTAAATATTTATCATATTTGATATTTTATTTCATTTCTTTTTAATATTAAAAAAAGAAAAAAATGTATTGTTAGAACAATTAAAAAACTAATTTTATGTGAAAAACGGATGGAATAGAAAATTTTGATTTTACAACTTGAAAAAAAAAAATTTTAATATGATGCCATTGCCTTCTGAAAAGTGGTACTACATCAAAGGAAATGAAACTTTCTTCGCTTTTTTGAAAGTAGAAAATGACGCTGAAGCTATAATGTACTGAAAAGAGTTATCGACAATAGTGATTTGAGCATTAAAGTTGTTGCGAACAACAAAATTCATCTTTTTTCTATGTTTTTAAGAAGCGAATGTATGGAAGATCTAATTTTGTTATTGAAAAGTGTTGTAGAAATGAATTTGAAATTTTTCAGAAAATTAAATTTTATTTACAATATTATTTCTCAAATTAAATTAATGAATGAAAATTCAAATATTAAATAGATTTCTATTGGATGAGTGAATATAACAGCCCTCATAACAAAAGGATATCCCTAGGATATCCATATCAATGGTCGATACTCTAGAATGGTTCCCAGGATATCTTGGGATATCCCTAGGATATCCAAACCGTCGGTCTGTGGGACATCAACAGGACATCCATAGGATATCCACAGGATATCCCTAAGACATCCACAAAATAAGTATTGGATATTATATCGCAGGATATCCATGGGATATTCTTAGGATATTCACGGGATATTTAATATCTCAACATATATTTTTAAAGGTTAAAATTGTTAAGCTAATATAATGAATAATAATATAATAAAAACAAAAATGTTATGAGCTTCTAATTTATTTTAAATGAAGATTTGAAACGCATTTTTCAAAGTTTTTAAATAAACTTATGCACTTAATGTATAATTAATATTAATAGTTATTCGTTATTTGCGGGGAAGAATTTATATTGTTTAAAGCCAATTTATTTTCTGACAATATTAAGCATATGAATAAAGGAATGAATCACGAATGAGAAAAAAATTAGTTAATAATTTTTCAAATTAAACAACTTTCTCGAAAAACAAGTTGCATTTTATTTTATTTATATATAAAATTTAATTCACAGAATATTCTCACTCGTAGTCTCATAATGACTTTAAAAACAGTATCCTGAGAATATCTTCTTGACATCCAGAAGATATACTGAGAATATCCTGAAAATATCTGTAGGATATCCTGACGATATCTATGGGATATCCTGATGATATCTGTGGGATATCCTGACGATATCTATGGGATATCCTGATGATATCTGTGTGATATCCTGACGATATCTATGGGATATCTGGAGGACATTTATGTAAGTCAATAGAGATATCCAGAAGATATCCTGTAGATATCCTCAGATATCCAAAGGATATCCAAACCGCTGATTTTTTGGATATCCTTAAGAGATCCTTCTGATATCAATAGGACATCCCTAGGATATCTGCGGGATATTATCAATATATCCCAAGATATCTTGTGTTATTAGGGAGGGTATTGTTTTTTAAAAATTGATTTGAATTTGATAGAAATAATTATTTCTACCTTCCATGGATAATATTTTCCATAATTTTAAAAGAAGAAATGTAATGGGCAACATAACCTAAATAGAAAAAAACAAATCACAGTATTTCGCAGTTTCGCACGGCAGTATTCTGTCTTCATTCTTTTTTGTTTAATCTTGTTTCCTTCTATATCTTCTTTGTTAAAACTTCATTATTTTCTCTTCTATCTTGATTCTTATTTCTTCTCACTTTTTTCTTGATTCTTCATTATTCTCTCTCATTTGTTTTTTTTTCTTTCTTTTTATTTCTTTGACCTCAAATATTATCTTCATTCATTATTATATATGTCCTCGACTTTTTCGTCAATCAAAATTTTCATTATCAAGTGTTGTACTTTTTTTGGAATTATTTAATAATAATGAATTATATCTTTCGTAATTTATATAATGAATTTAATTTTATAAACTAGTTCAATGATAACATAACATAACAAAATAATTCAATTTTACATCATGAGCACCACAATGAGAATGGCGAGAAGCGCAAAGTTGCCAACGACCTTCACCAAATGCAAGTGCGCTTGCGCCACTATAACTCTCTCATTGATAGGAAAAAGAACGTGTATTTAAAATGCTCTAATATATATATATATATATATCAATAAGAAAATGTTAAGAAAACAATAAAAAAATATTTTAACTGTTAATTTGACTTTTTTATGTTTTCTAATCAATATTATTTTTATAACTTTTTATGTTTATAGTTATAGTGTTTCTTAATCAATATTATTTTTATTATATTACTTTAAGGTTAGGTATTAATATAGTTACTAATAGTAATTACTATTGTAGTAATTACTATTGTATTGTTGCTGTATTGTAATTGTAGTTGTATTATAGTTTTAATGTTTTTTATTGTATATTAAATATAATATAAATACAAAATAT